GGCCAAATAATTTGTGCAACCAACGAAACTATAAATATCATAAGATGCGATAAATATGTGCAATACAAGCAATGTACTACTACATAACTTGGTATAATACAGTTAACTGAATTTTAACTTTCTAATATTGAAAATGACCTAAATAGGGCCGAAACGTATATTTATTTATTTATTTTGCGTTCGTTTTGTATAATGTATTAAAGCAGTGTTTTTAACAAGTATAATTTATTATTATTTGATTCGTAACCTTCTTTCTCATCATATAATTTTTTAATTTTTTGAGTCACATTATTATTTTCATTATTCAAAATACTGGTGTTGATATGTAACGTCATTTTTTCCAGTATTGGAATGTAAAAGTGTGTATATATATGTATATATATATATATATATATATATATATATATATATATATATATAACAATATGTTACGATTATATTTATAATGAATGATGTCACTGGGAGTACAAATACATTGAATTTTTAATCTCATAAATGTAGAATATAGAGAGAGATGGGGGAAATATAAAATATATTAATCTAACCAAAAAAGGGCGCGAGAGCAGAGAATCTTGCATATCGCATAATGCATAAGAAAATGGTTATCGAAGATTAAACAAGGATACCTGCGGGTGCACCCGGGTGAACGCAGTCAAGGTTAATACGAAATAAAAAGTCGTTTACAACAAAATTTCAAGTCTTGGAGAAAATTATTGCGAGAGAATATCGAAACCACGGAGCGGCGAGTCGAGACGGTCTCGTGAGACGATTTAGCCGGCAGATGCACGGATTCCTCAGGGCACTGTCGAGGTCCACCCCGCCCCTTCCGCCCCTTCCCGCGTTCCTGTAAATGAAATCCGCGTGTCTGACGAAATCGCAAGTTCGGAATTAGTAAAGTGTTGCGTTCGCTGCCGCCATCGCCATCGCCGCGTGTCGAAACGACACTCGCGATATTACCAGCCGACCCACACAACGGCTGCACACATACGCAAGTGCGCATGCGCGCGCGACACACACACACACGCACACACACGCACGCACCATGCTACAGAGATACCAGATATCCTTCGGTAAGGTCAAAATGGCGGAGAATTCCACGATCGTCGCGCTCGTGCGCGAGAGGCGATATTGCGGGCACCGTTTGCATTAATAGAGCGCAACCGAACGTGACGCAAGCTCGCGAAGTATGTAAATTGCCTAACAGCTTCGCCACGCTCCCGTTTACATTGTAAAAATGACCGCGCGCGTTGATGTCGAGCCGGCCGACCCCGACGCGAAATACTCCCCTCTCCCCCTCCCCCCTCCCTCTATCGCAGCATCCTCGATTTCATCTCGTGAATTGTTGATTGATTGAGACCGTTTATTCCCCGACGAGAGAAACACAATTTCTGGTGACGAACAGCGAATTCGGTTGAACGTACTAATATTTATATATTAGTTAGCGCACTTAGTATTTATATATAGTTTAGTTACTCTTATGAGCGGGTACTACTTAGGGAAACGTGAAAATAACTAATTTTAAGACTTCTGAATATCTGTTGCATATTAAAACCGTTATACGCTGTGATTGAAACTGAATGTAAAAGTTCAACACAAATATTTTTTGAATTAAAAGATACGTATTTTATTTGACAATTAATTTAATAAAAGTAGTGATGTGATTTCATGATTTATAACTCGTTTTATACTTATATCGAACACACATCTTCATGTCAATTTGTGTACGTCTATGCATCAGTGAGTACTATACTGACTTCTTCAAGAGTATAAGTATACTACTAGACTCTTAATTCATGGTACTAGGTTTGTTCGTATATCGTATAAGCCTACATACTCCAATATATTCCAATTATAGCTTCTATTCACTCAAATGCGCTCGTTAGAGCTGAAAAAAAGGAGCACGTTGGTGCATGTTGGGGCATACGAACAAACCTACTGTGACCAGCTTTTGTGGATCAGGGTATCGATCATGAAACTTTTTCCCTAGGATGAAAAGTGAAAATTTTCACCATTGAAGTTAATGGAGAAATTTTTTACTTTTTACTTTTCATCCTAGGGAAAAAGTTTCATGATCGATACCTAGAAATCCATTAGGAAAAAAAGAAACTAACTTGGAAAGAAAAGGGCACTAGGAGTCAAGCGCAGATAACTTCACGCAACGCCGATATATATCAAGCAAATCTATTTATTACAAACAATTAATAATTGTTTGTAATAAATAGATTTGCTTGATATATATCCAAGTTAGATTTTGATTTATACAGGAGTTTTGTTATTTAAGAATTACATGAAAAAAAGAAAGAGACTCCCTCATATACAAGCATGGGTGCACTTTTCTCAGATGTGTCTCTTGGCGCATGCGTATATAAAAATTGGAGTCACTTTCCTAAAAGAATTAGTTATATAAAAATCTGACGCACCGAATGCATCCAATCAAATTCACTGAAAGATTGAGAAAGATGGATCTCTCTCGCATCAACTGACACGTTCCTTTTGTCGGGAACAAACAGATTGTTTGCGTATCGTCGGTGGTATCTCACGGAATGTAAACGCGCCTGCGATCGTACCGGTTTTAGTGCCCGCGTCAAATCGCTCATTCAACGTAAACATGCTCATTCAGTACGAGCGTACGCTGACTCATAATCAGTAGAAATAAACAACGGAAGAAGAAAAAAAAAAGCGTTACCCGTGTGCGACAAACGTCAAGGTTGCGCTCCAAATATTTCTAAACGAAAGCCAGAGGCTTTCTCGACTGTGGGCTCCGGGAGTATTTCAAGCGAGGAACTTGATAAAAATTTCCAAGAGATAATTCTTATTCTAATATACATAATGAACGCAACTTCAAATAAACCTTATTTAACAACACATTTAAATCGATACGATGAATTTCTCTGTTTTTTTTTTTCTAATGACACATCATACTTCCAAGTTTTACCAGAAAATTATTGCGATTCATATTTGTGGAATCGTTACGAAATTCAACGAGAAAATGACGTGTCAACTTCGACCAATGATCGACTTTCTGAAAATACCAGAAATATTCCAAGATATAGTTTTAATTAATAAAATTAGCAATACATGAGATTGCGATGTTAACGGCTTAATTACCCAATAATGTGTAACATTGTATCAGTCTTGCTTTCTATACGTCACGGAAGCTTGCAGCAAAATTGCTGCAACGCTTACAATGTTATAACACTGTTACTTGAATGACTTGTACTGCATGAGTTAGTCAAATGTTAATTGTTGTAAATTGTTCACTTATCCGTCTAATAGTATATACTTTTTCGGGAACTAGGATCGTTGCAGTTTCGTCATTAATTGGCTTTCGACGCGAATCAGAAGCGTACTCGAAAAATGTCACACAACAGAATGTACGAAATTATCGTGTACTCTTGAATTTTTAGTGAATCTCGCTCCTTAAGTGACGTCTCCCATGAGATCTTGAGGCGTAAAATTATAAAGCTTAAGCTTTAAAAAAATTAACCAATCGATTATTCTCCTCCACAACTGTGATTAATTAATTTCTTAGAACTTCAGGTTTAGCTGTTTTATACTTAAAAATCTCATTGTAGGTTCCACTTGAAGACTGAAAATTGAGCCTCACTCTTTTCCAAGAGCGATTCAATTTTCTGTACAGAGCAAGATTCTACTGCAAAGAATTTAAAGAGAACGTCGTGTCAATATTATATATAAGATGAAAAATATTCAAGGACTCTTAATATAACAATAATCAATACAAATCGAAAGGGCAAAGTTAGAGTCAAAAATAAAATTACATTTAAAATAATATTAAAATGTCAACATATTTGATTCTAAATTTAAAAAACAAAAGAATATAATTTACAAAAAACGTAACGTTCATCATGTTTTTAGTTTATTTTATAATAAAATACTTTTATTTAAAACACAGTTTTCGCAATAAAAGATTTTATATTTCATATTTTAGTGACGTGCATGAAAGTATTACATATTTTGTATTCAAAATTGAAAGGTTGAAAGCTTTATGTATTTCATAATTTAAATAATAACATTAATCGTCAATCTTAGTATTTAAAATACAAAATACTTTCAATCTTTTATTATTAATACTAAAATACAAAATATAAAATACTTTTATATACTTGCATAAAATATAAAATGCAGAATATTTTCATGCACACCGCTGAAATACAAAATATATGATACAATCGTATTACAAATACTGTTTTCAAATAAAAGTATTTTAAATACATGCCCAGCTCTGAATTTTAGTAAATTTTATTGTTTTGTATATCTCTTTATATAGAATCTCGATTTAACAACTAAAACAGGCGTCTAAGGTAGGCTTCCACTACAATGCCTTACTGATGAGTCCAGTAGTGGAAGTTGGGACGAAACGCCATAATTACGTGATATTCTTCGCAATATATTAGATTGATTTAAAGATTTTAATGAAAATTGGCTCATTGCCCTTATTTCATTATATTAGTTGTTTTATATTCTTTTGTTTTTTATATACAAATTTAGAATTAAATATGTTGACACTTTAATATTATTTTAAATGTAATTTTATTATCGACTCTTCCTTCGCCCTTTCGGGATTTGTATTGATTAACAGTAAATATCCCCCCCCCAGTATTCCATATCCGCTGTTTATCGAAAAGTTCCAGATCAGTCGTCGCGACCGGCAAGTCGCCGGAGGCGACGTTCACGACGGAACACGATGCAATAGACAGCAATGCACTTTGCACTGGAATCGCGCGACTCGTACACGCGCGGCTAGAGAGAGAAAGAGAGAGAGAGAGAGACAACGACGACGTACACATAAGCACTTGGGGGAGGGGCGTCGCGTTCATCGTCGTCGTTTCCACCCCGCGAAAAGCGGAGAGGCATCCCCCGGTAGTATTCCACGGTCGATAGCGCGTTTCTCGCTCGGAGTCGGAGAGGTAGATCGGCACACACTCGACTCCTTCTCGGTCACATTTCTTTCTATTCCTTCATCGGCGACGGAAACTTTACCTTCGTGTTTTTCTTCTTTTTTTTTTCCTTCGTATAATTGTCGCCGTGCGTCGTTCCTGAATCGGTGGGACAGGTAGGTAGGTTGGTTGATTGAGACGATTGGACGTCCGCGGCACCTCGATCGAGCGCGATTATCACGATCGACCTCGGAGTCGTCTTCTTCTTCTTCTTCCTCCTCCTCTTTCTTCTTTTCTTGGCTCACTTCTCGTCGGCTGCTGCGTCACGTCGACGGAGCCGCAACGCGCGCGTCCGTTCGCCGTTTTTCCTTCCCGAAACGCGATCCGTTGAGATTTATCTCCGCGACGAGCTCTCCAGGACGAGACGTGAGAGAGAGAGAGAGAGAGAGAAAGAAAGAAAGAGAGAGAGAGAGAGAGAGCGCGCGCGAGAGACTCGTGGTATCCGCGCGACGGACGGTCCAACGTTCGGGCCGACCCACCGCTCAGAAACGACGGCGGCAGCAGAAAAAGCGAGCACGAACTAACGTCGCCATTGCGCAGCTGACAACTGCCGAGCTGACGGCTGAGCGAATGCGAACGTAACGCAACCGTCACGGAGCTATCCGGGCGCACGGGCGCTTCGGCGATCTTCGGCCGTGCCCGCGGACCCCGAAGGGACACGAACGCGCGTCTTCGGGACGTTTCGGCTAACATCGGCCGTCCCGGCGCAGTTCCGGCGAGGCCGCGCGCGGATCCTGTTTGCGTGCGCAACGGTTCGTACGATTTCGCTTCACCCGGTATCGAACGGTACCCTGGGTATATACCCCACACACGTCTGAGATATCGCGATCTTCCTTTCAATTCGATTGGACGATATCGGTATCTGTACCACGGTGCGTATTGAAAGATTTTATTGCACCCACTAAAAGCCGGAGTCAAGACTGCGCATTGAAGGTTGAAAGTTAAAATTTGACCAATGAGAATAAAGGAATTTCAGCTCCTATTATTTCGATTGGCCAAATTTCAATCTTTCAATCTTCAATGTCAATGTTCGATGCGTAGTCTAATTCCGGATCTAAGACGATTTTCTACTTTCTAATTTTGTTTTAAACTGAAGGAATTGAGAGAGGACTTTTAATTAATGCGTTGTTGATTTTATTTTCAAGTAGAAATGCGGAACGACTGAAATGTTAGTAACATTTGCAATCAATTCACGTACGATTCGTTTTAAATATTTTAATGCACCATTATAAAGCGATTTTCTCTCTCTCTCTCTCTCTCTCTCTCTCGTTTTTTTTTAAATTGAATCAATTGAAAGCATTTAAATAACTTGTACGATATAACGTTTGCAATCGATTTGCAATCTGATAAATCTTTAGGTGTTTATAAATTATTCAGTGTTAGGAAAAGTGACATACATTAGAATAATATCCGCATTGCAATGTTTTCATTCTAAACTTTTGTCACCTTTTCAGAGGTCAGTGAAGATGATAGGCAGAAGTGTGTCTTGAATCGCCGGAAACGGGAACGGTGTTACATCACACGTTGCCGCCACACATGTTAACGATTGCACCCGCGAACGATCGTTGTCATAAGAACGGCTGGCTGAAATTGGGAAAGCCAATATTCGCAAAAGCGACAGATGGACGCCTAATAATAACATCGAGGTACGTAAGAGATACGCGCATATCTTATCTGTATCGTTCTACAGAGGAAGCAAACATTGGCGAACACACGTCGATCTACGCGAAAAGGATAAAGTTTGATCAGAGGCATCCGGTTGTGAGAGACGCTACTGGCCCTCCCCTCCGACATTTATAAATACTATACGTGGACTCTTCAAATCGCGACACGCGGTCGTATTAAGCTTATCAATTGTTCCAATATATAAAGTGAATAAGGCCCACTTAATTTCTTTCATTTTTTGTTATAAATAATTCAAGGCTGGGCAATCTGGGCATGTATTTAAAATACTCTTATTTGAAAACGGTAATTGTAAGACAATTGTATCGTGTATTTTGTATTTCAACGGTGTACTATATATGAAAATATTTTGCATTTTATATTTTATGGAAGTATATAAAAGTATTTTATATTTTGTACTTCAGTATTAATAATGAAGGATTGAAAGTATTTTGTATTTTAAATACTAAGATATTGAAGATTGTTATTATTTAAATTACGAAGTACATAAAGCTTTCAATCTTTCAATTTTAAATACAAAATACGTAATGCTTTCACGTACATCGCTGAAATATAAAATATAAAATCTATTTTTATTGCGAAATCTGTGTTTTAAATAAAAGTATTTTAAATACATGCCCAGCCCTGTTAAATATATTTACGGGGATAATTTGAGATAAACTAATTGTAAGTGTGAAGTGAGATATATCCTGAGTTTTTTTTTTGGCACACAAGCAGTTTTACTTTCAAATTTCTCCTTATTTTTATCTTGATTTTAATTTTTATTAAATAAAAGTTTTAATATTTAAGTTAAAAAGAACTATTTTGTAATGTAATAGAGATGTTGAAAAGTAACTTTGAATTCTTTTCATATTTTTTGAAAGTCCGAAACAGTAGAAAAACTTGGATTGGAAAAAAAATTGCAGACGAAAAGTTAAATATAACTGAAGTTATATTCTGTTTTAATTAAATCATAATTTTATAGTAACCTTCATAATATATATATACCAGAGCAGAATAGTGCCAGAAAAGTAGATCGAATAGACGATCGCATTTGTTGTAGCGGTGAAGCCTTATCTTTTAAAATAATTGTTAACAAATTCCCGAATTATATTTTCTTCATTTTTAGATTCTATAAAATTTCTATAATACCGCACATATTCGATATTTCAACTACCTATATTTAATGCAAATAATTCTGCCACATCTAATTGTCGGTTCTTTATAAAATTGTGATTTAAAACGTGTATAAATTGTGCTGACTCACCCAAAAAATTGTGCCGTAAATTTATCACAATTTCCGTGATTTTTAATGTTATTTACGTACTTTTATAGAAATCACAATTTATATTTACATACAATTGACAAGAATTTGAATAGATCCGATTTTGAATATCTATACACCAGGATTTTTTTAACGTGGAAAGATAGTAAGATTGAGAGAGGATCTTAACAATTCATGCGTGCGTTCTCCAAACGAGTGAGATCTCGCGAGAGAGACTCGTCCGGCGCGGTGCAACACGCGCCCTTGACCTACCTTAACGTTTCTCGTTGCGCGCGGGCAACTCTCGTGGCACGCTTTAAACAATTGCGCGTATAAGGGCATGCAATTTCACCCACGTATGACCGTGACGGGTCTCCCACACTGTAGAAAAAAGTATGTAAAATTCATATCGAACGACAAGTGTAAAAATCACATGATTTACAGCGGAAATGCGTGTACCTTTTTGTAAAGTAATTTTTGTACTTGTCGCTTACGTAATTCTATTGCTTGCTTTCGCAGTGTGACTTGTAAAGTTCGTTAATGGAAGAATATGACATCAGAGAAATATTGGGAAATAATTTATGTGAGCCCATTGAAAGATTTTAAAAATCATTTCAAGGGCATAAATTTGTCTTCAAACTTGAGATTCCGAATACGAGTCAACGGCTTTTACATGAAGCAGCATTGTTATTTTTTGTATTCAAAATAACAAAAGTATTCTGCGAAACGAATTATAAATGAAGTAAAGAGAGAACGTAAAATAATACAAAATAAATTTTCATATTAATTACATGCGAATGACGTTTGCCGGAAAAGTATAAAGCTCTTTTACAAAAAGAGCTTGCATCAAAGTATTATAATATTGCAGCACGGATATTACACAGCACGGTTTAAATTTTAAAACTATATATTTAAATTCATTCTATAAAATTCGCAGTTATATATTTAATGTGTCTATATGTATGATAGATACGCGCTGAATTTGTGTATTCTATAATATATATATTCTGTACACACATTTCGAAGTGCACACGCAAACCGACCCTAGGTATTGCGGACATGTATATAGCTGTATCGCGTACATTTCGAAATGATAGAGGGAAGAAGACTGAGACAGAGAGAGAAAAAAAGAGAGGGGAGAGGGAGGGAGGGAGGGGGGGGAGAGAGAGAGAGAGAGAGAGGCATAATTTATTAAGCGTTCTGGGACAAATCCCCTCAAGCACAAAATCTTCAGTACACAGATAATCATATAATAATAGAAAAAAAAACATACATGTAATGTTTTATATAAAACAATTGAAAAAGAAAAATTTATATAAATAAAAAAATTAATAATTTATAATAATAATAATAATAATAATTTATAATTTATATTTATTTTTATTTTATTTATTTATTTATTATTTATAATTTATACAAATTAATAATTAACTAATATACGTAGCCCCCCCCCCCTCCAAAGTAATATTTTTCGTAATAAGAATAATTTTCCAGATTTTTTTATTATTTTCAGATTATTAAAGTTGCGTTTCAAGACCGACGATTATTCGGCGCGCAATTTGGGGGGGACTACGTATATTAGTTAACTATTAATTTAATTTAATTCGTGATAGTACCGCGGTAGTTTATATGTAACCGATTAAAAGATCCAAGCTAGACTGTTATAGGCTTCGTATTTGTATCAGTTAAGTTCTTATACAATAACAGTCTTTAGTATTGAATATTGGAAAATAAAGAGTTTAGGTGAGCGTAGTTCACAGTTTCAAGCATGCTATAATTTTATTGATATGTGTGTGTGCGTGCGTACGTGCCAGCAAGAGAGAGAGAGAGAGAGAGAGAGAGAGGGGGAGACAGATAAGGCCACGATTGCGTGGCGCTTGGATCATGTTCGAGTCAGAGGCCTTCATTTCCAAACGTATCCCCCGCGTTCCGGCCGCCGCCGGATATTGGTCAACCCGGGACCACCTCTTTTTTTCATCTCGCACACACCATTCTGCATATATGGGCGCTGGCACAGCCAGATGATCAGCGCTGGACGCGCGCGATCGCGGAGTAGACGGGATGAAGCACGAAGAAAGAAGATCACGGTTCGATCGATATGCCCCGTAAATTATATATACACGCATGGCTTGTCGCAACACTGTACGGCCGTTTTGCGAGAGGAACGGGATCTGAAAAGTCAGCGTGATTCGCGCGCGCGTTATCGTCGCCGCGCCGTTTATTGCTGTCGCGTTTCGACAGCGTCGGACATCATCGACATATCGTAATATGTATTTTTGCAATAATAATAAACGGTATAATTAACAAAAGTGTACATATAGTTTTGTAAACGCGGCACTTGAGGAATATATATGGTAGCCACGTTTAATCGAGATATTTCCGCTCTTATCCAGATCCACTTGGCGAAAATTTATCTCGGGACATTTTTACTTTCGTCCTCAGTGTTCTGTCGCGCCAAGAGGAACGTCTTTACTATTTATTTGCAGTTTTGCAATTTTAGTTTCCTGTCAATTTTTCGGAAACAAAACTTGCATTTGTTATGGCCTTAACGTGATGAATGTAAATATGTCGTATACTTTTTTATCCATTGTGTGTTACGTTTAATTATTTATTCATATTTTTTTATTTTTCTATTTAATATTTAATGTTCGTGTTTATAATATTTCTTTCATTGTGCGCAGAGCCTTATTCTTTCACCAAACACATGAAAATTGTAACCAATCATTGATTATGACTTTTAAAACCAAGATATATAAATCGTAAATTATTGAGATTAATCTCGATTAAAGTTCTATTAGTTCGGAATTATAGTCAGTTCTCTTTAAATCTGATTTGGATAATTACAAATTTTTTATTTGATTTGACATGACAGAAGTAAACAAGTGATGTACAATCATGGACAAAACGGTTGCAACACTTTTTTTCCGATAAGCTTCAGATCTCAGCCTTGCTCGTAGAAAAGTTGAACATAAATGTTTAGATTTAAAAGGATCAATCAATCAGCGAGCAGGCTGCATTCCGAAATCCAACGAAAAAAAGAGCGTTGCGACTATTTTGTTCATTGCATAAACATATAATAAAGTAAACAAAAATGAGAAATTTTTCAGAAATTGCTCTCGTCTTCTTCAATAAAGTTCTTCCGACGTCTGCGTGTAAATAACGCAAATATTATCTTCCTCTCGTGCTTAGGACACAGTCGAAATTATCGTCAAGCAACAATCCACAGAACTGGTTCTGTTTTTTTTCTTCAGGAGGGATGACGACACCACGGTATTCTTTACCACGCGCACGGTATCAGCATTTTTAATAAGATTTTTTAATATTCCACGATCTTTCCATACTTGTTGTCATTTATGCGGATATTTCGTCATGCAATATTGACACATGATTGACTCCAGTTGCGGTTCATTGATTAACAGTCTGTATACTATCGGACGAAATTTATTCGGAAATATAATTTGCTCTTGGTAAACAATTACGCAATTAATGTTCTTTTTTTATGACTGAATGTAGTTATACATGTTATATATTAGGTGTACAAATTAGTTCGGTCCGTTTTTGTGTTCAAAAATGCATTTATTTCAAAACAAAATGAAACTGAACAGATTAATTAAAGTATCGTCCATCGCTGGCTACTACTTTTTCCTATCTCTCAGGCAATTTTCGAATTCCATCTCGAAAAAATGACTCGTCTTTAAAGGCGATCATCTTTTGAAAAAC